AGGAGGAAGAGCAGAAAGAGGAGCAGGACGAAGCAGGCGAAGCGCCTTCAGCCTGCCTGAGATGACGAAGAGGAGGACGAGGGGGGAGGGGATGTGAGGAAGGGGAGGGAGGGGAGGGGCTGAAGGGAGCTGCGGGAGGGAAGGATGGGAGGGGCAGAGGGAGGATGAGGGGCGGGGGAGGAGTGAGGGAGGACGCGGGCGCGCGGAGCTGACATAGGCCCACCCGCGCCAGCGGGGGGGGGAGAGAAAGAAAGAGAGAGAGAAAGAGAGAGAGAGAGAGACAAAAGCTGGAGCACTGGTGGGAGGAATCCGCCCTTCATCGTTACCGCACTTGCGTCCTCCCCCGCTAGATCTGGGTGTCGAGCTTTTCTGCATATACGTGTTGACGTGTACATGTATGTACGGTGTTTAGCGGGATAAGTATGTCATACCTGTGCATCCTGATATATATATATATATATATATATATATATATATAACGTACAGCACTGCGTGCGTACGATTTTCGCCTGGTTCGGACCCCCAGGGCCGTCATACATCCTTTAGACTCGAGATGCCAAATCGACCGGGACCAGGGCTCCTGTCCGGGCCTTTGCTTTTTGTTGCGTCCCACGGCGGCCCCCAGGACGATCTGCCATCCTTCTCTTCCTCCTCCTCCTCCTCCTCCGTCCCCTCCCTCTCCTGGCGGCTCGAGAAGATCCCATCCCACTCCACGGCAGTGCCAGAACAGGGCGGCGGTCCGGTGCCTGTGGGGCCCGCGCCCCCACATAGACATCTTATAGCAAGGGTTAAAGCGGGCCTTTCCCTCTACAGGAGGAATATTCAGAAATAGTCAAAAAATAGTCAGGGGACGATTTTTCCTCCATATTCGATCATGTTCGAATATTGTTTTACTATGTTTGTTTTTTTCCAAAATCCACCTGTAGGGGGACACGCCCGACCTAAAATAAACATCTTATAGCAAGGGCTCCCCGGCCGGCGAGTTCTGGCCTCACGGTTTGGGCAGCAGTCGTTCATGCAGTGCGGCTGGTTTTGTGTCTCTTTTTCCAGTCGGGTGTCCCCCTCAAATCGGGGCCGGAAACATGTCTCCTATGTTATGTTCTTCAGTTATGCACGTCCACTACTTGCTGGCAAGTGGTGGCCCAATCACAGTGTACATTTTGTTTTGGACTCCTGTCGCCGCGAGAACTGGCCAAATGATTATACATTACGCCAGAGAGAGACCCCAATCAGTGGATAGCCTGAAAATCAGTGATCAGGATATTGGAAAGAGCGTGTTCTACCGCTGCTGGCGGAAAGCCGGGGGGGTTCACTACCGGTTCGAACCTCCCCCCCCCCCTTCCAGTCCATCACGAAAAGGGGGGGGGTCACTACCGGTTCGAACCCCCTCCCCCCCCCCCCTCGAAAACCGAGGGGGGTCACTACCGGTTCGAACCCCCCCTCCTCGAAAACTTGGGGGGGGGTGCGGACAGTGGTGGGGACGGTGGTGGTGGGGACAGTGGTGAGGGGACAGCGGGACAGTGGTGGGGACAGTGGGACAGTGGTGGGGACGTGAGTGGTGGGGACAATGGTGAAGGCGGTGGTGAGCACAGTGGTGGGACAGTAGCACGTTGGGGAAAGTGGTGGGGACAGTGGGAACGGTGGGACAGTGATGGGGACAGTGGGGACGCTGGGACAGCACAGTGGGACAGCGGCGGGGACAGTGGGACAGTAGTGGGTACAGTGGGGACAGTGGGACAGTGGTGGGGACCGTGGGGAAAGTGGGGAGAGTGGGACCGTGGTGGGACAATGCTGGGGAGAGTGGGGACATCGACACACTGGTGGGGGCACTCTCGAGGAGGACGGGGGGGGGTTCGAACCGGTAGTGACCCTCCGGTTGTCGAGGGGGAGAGGGGGGGGGGGTCGAACCGGTAATGACCCCGCCCGGTTTTCGAGGGGAGGGGTTCGAATTGATGTTGACCCCTCCCGGTTTTCTGGAGGGGGGTGGGGGGGTTCGAACCGGTAGTGACCTTCCTCTGGTTTTCTGGGGGGGGAGGTTTCGAGCCGGTAGTGACCCCCCCCGGTTTTCCGAGGGGGGGGGAATTCGAACCAGAAGTGACCCGCCCGGTTTTTTAGAGGGGGGGAGGGGGGGGGGGAGGTTGAGGGGAGGGGGGGTGTTGCCGGGGGAAGGGCGGGGGGTCCAGCAGGGGAGGGAGGGAATTTTTGGAAGATGGGGGGGGGAACCCCGGGTTCCAGAGGAAGAATAATGACGTCGATTCAGTGAGATCGATCGTGAGATCGCTCGTGCGATCTGTTGCGAGATCGACCGTGACATCGATAGTGAGATCGATCGTGCGATCGATCGTGAGATCGATAGAGAGGTGGGTAATGAGAGCGATGGTAAGACCGATCGATGAGGAGATGGACCAGGAAGCTGGGAACCCGGAAGCCTGGAAACCCCGCCGCCCACCTAAATCGGCCCAGAACCAGCAACCCAGAACCCAGGAACCCGGAGCCGAGAACCCTGGAACCCAGCCGCCCACCGAAATCGGCTGCCAGTTTTCGCCTAATCCTTCAAGATCTGCTAGGACCCCTTCAGTGCAAGCGCCGATTGGGGAACTATGCGTTGTCCTGCGGCGTCTCTGCGAAGCCCTATGGGACATGGCTCAGGTTCCTTATTGCATTTACTCGCGGTTCCCATCCAACGGGGGCACGCAGTAGTGCGTATCCACCGGATTTGTTCACGCCTCTGCCTCCCCAGGCTTCTGGCGACCTGTCACCCGTCCTCATTCCTCCTCGTCTCCCTCCCTCCCCGCAGCCTCTCCGCGCAGAGGCACGCAGGATCTGCTGTAACCCGCTGCCTCCTCCCCCTCTTCCTCCCCTCCCCTTCGCAGCAAGCATTTTTGCATCCTTCTCCTCATCTCCCTCTTTCGCAGCTTAGTCTGCAACTCCTGGGAGGTCAGATTCCGAATCGGCGCTGGTATGCCCGTGGTTGAAAACTGGCCGAATTTGGTAGAATATTGGTTGATTCCGCCGAATCCCTTTTATTGTTCCAGCGTATTCGGATTCAATCCTGTGATTCAGTTGGCCCAGTCTGGTTTGGTGGCCCTTTAACATCAGTTTTAGTAGCCCGTACTCGTTCTTGCGAAGACCGTTCAGAAGTTGCTTCATAACTTCTCTCCCTCTGCGGGCCCATTCGGTTTCGTAGCGGTTGCGCCCTGCAATACTTGTCCTACCATCTGCGATCTGCCTTGTTTGCTCCACAATAAACCTGCCGATTCGAGTAAGGGCACGCTTCTTACATGGGCGACGTCGAAAGACGGGTCGGTTGCGTCCACATTCGCGCGTAAGGTTTCGGCGTAAGGTCGAGCGTAGTCGTTATGCTTTCCACGTGGCGTGGTGCGTTGGTGGCCTGCGTAAGCCACTGCGTGAGGTCGCGGTGTCGTCATGCGCAAGTCCCCTGCCATTTCGCCGCGCAAGTGGAACTAAAGATCCTGTTTCCCTTTACTCATGGTCGGAGCTGGCTCAACCAAACCTGGGTTATTGGGATTTCGCGCTCGCGGTGCACTCAGTAGCAACGATAGGGGGGGATAGGCATAGGATGGGATGCATCGACCCCCAATCGCCCATTGATTGCTGATAGGGGTCTGCTAGCCCCAACCCGCCCAGGAAGGTTCGGATTCGCCATCGGTCGCTTTTCGCTGATCTATCGGCGACGTAATGCCGATTCCCGGCCGATGGTTCCCCCCCGTGCCAGTCCCCCCTTTCCTTGCCTTTGCCTTTTGTTGCTCCAACCTACTTTAGCCTTGATCACCAGAAAGAATTTCGAGCGCCCAAACATGTACCGAAACTCAAGGGTTTTCACGTGTCGGGCCCTGGGAGACACTCGCCCGACACTGTTTCGACATTGCTTCGACACTCTTTTGACACTTTTCCGGGTGCTCGACATTAGTTCTGGGATGTGGCCTTTTTAAGTAGGATGGGAACAACATAAGCCTTTTCCCCTCGTGTATACCCCCCATCGTCTCCCACCCCCCCATCGTTGCCCCTATCGTTGCCCCCGTGTGCCCCCCCTATCGTTGCCCCCCCATCGTTGCCCTCCTATCGTTGACCCTAGGCCGACGTGCTCCCCCCCCTAACGTTGCCCCTCCTGTACCCCCCTCCAGGGGTAGGGCTGGGTGCTGCGAAACCTGGGTGGGGGGACGGCGCCCAGCCCCACCCGATGAGGGGGAGGAGGGTAGGTCGGCCAGCCAGGCCAACGTTTCTTTCAGAGGAGGAGGAGGAGAAGGAGGAGGAGGAGGAGAAGGAGGAGGCGGAGGAGAAGGAGGAGGAGGCGGAGGAGGAGGAGGAGAAGGAGGAGGAGAGGGGGGAGTCGTTCTGATTGTCTTCCTGATCCCCCCTTCCCGTCTTATCCATTCGATGCTTACCTAGAGGACCGACGCTCCGACAAAAACTGGGGCCAGGCGGTTTTGGGCCCTTTTTGGGCTTCCAGGGGCCCTCGCTGGGCCTCGGGACCGTCAGGACGCGACCAGGGGCGAAACCCTTGTCCCGGGGAACGGGTCTGGACCTTTGGGGCGCCCTCCCCGTCGTACTCGTCGATCGTTGAAAGTAGGTATTTGGGACTTTCGGGTGTCAGTCTACTTTAGGCGCCGTCATACTTCATTGATCGAGGTTGTTTCACTTTCCCCTTCCTCTTCAGGGGGCGGGCGGAAGCCCCGTCTCAGGGACGTCTTTCCATCACAGCTGCTACAGGGATGCCCCGCTATTTTCTCGCTCCACTAATGGCCAACGATTTCCCCACTAATGGCTCGCTAATGCCCCGCTAATGGCCCACGAAAGGCTCCACTCATGGCCTATATAGTGGTCCACTCATGAAATCGGCCCACTAATGGCCCACGAATGACTTACTAACTGCCCACCAGTGGCCTGCCAATGAATTTTGACACACTAATGGCACACTGTTTGTCTTCGATTGATTCGCTTCTTGTTTTCTTTCGCGTAGACGCGACCGCAATGATATTTCGCGCCAATCGTGGCGGTCATTCGCGTGCTATTAGCTGGGTCCCAAGGTACTGTGAGGCAGGGCCCTGCATGACTTATCTGCTTGTAATCACGCCTTCCTGCTTCATGTGTCTGCCCACTTCTCTTCCGACCGACACGTATGCATTTGCTGATTCGGCCGATGTGGAGGTCTGCGCAGCGTCTTGTTCGCCCTCCCCCGCCTCCCCTCCCACTCCTCCTCCTCCTCCTCCGCCTCTTCTTCTTCTTCCTCCTCATCCTCTTCTTCTTCTTCTTCTTCCTTCTCCTCCTCCTCCTCCATCCCGAGAGTGCCCGTCTGCGGCAGAGGTCGCAGCGCCCCCCGCGGCTGGATCTTCGGATGTCCTTGGGCTCCATGGCTTCTGCTTGGGCGGAATCTGCCGTGGTAGGGCCGCCTGCGATCCGATTCGACGCGATTCGATTCGCTGGCGCCAGTGGCTGGCTGGTTCGATGCGGCGGCTCGTCGTCGGCGGGGATGCGGCCCGTGGGCCCTGCGGCGTCGGGAAAGAGGGGGAGCCCTCCGGTGTGGAGGCCGCCGTGCTGCGGGTGGGGCTGCCGCCGCGGAAAAGAGTTCCCTCGCTGCGGATGTTGCTCGTGGGCCTGCTGCGCCAGAAGGGAGGGGGAGAGAGAGGAAGAGAGAGAGTGTGAGAGAGAGAGAGCACGAGAGAGAGGGGGTAAACAACAAGCACAAACAAACGAGAAAACGAGAGAGAGAGAGAGAGATAAGAAAAAACAGAAAGAGAAGAGAGAGAGAGAGAGAGAACGAGAGAGAGAGATAACACACAAAGAGAAACATATCTATATAGAGAGAGAGAGAAGAGAGAGAGAGAGAGAGAGAGAGAGAGGGAGCCCCCGCCGCAGATCTTCCTGACGGTGGCGATCTTCTTCGCCGTGAGCCTGCTTCTCGAGCACTTCGCGGAGGACCGCACGGCGGAGAGCTCTTGTCGGGGGCGGGGCGGGGGGGGGGAGGGGGGCGCGGTGGCCGGCCAAAGGCCGGAGCTCGTGACCGCGGGCGGGTCGAGCGATGGCGCGGAGGGGGGGAAGGAGGAGGAGGAGGAGGAGGAGGAGGAGGAGGAGGAGAAGGAAGAGGAGGAGGCGGAGGAGGAGGAGGGGGCGGAGGAGGAGGAGGAGAGGAAGAGAAGGAGGAGGAGAAGAGAAGAAGGAGGAGGAGGAGGAGGGAGGACGCGGGGGAGGAGGAGGGAGGAGGAGGAGGGAGGAGGAGAGGAGGAGGAGGAGGAGGAGGAGGAGGAGGGAGGAGGAGGAGGAGTGGGAGCAGAACGAGGAGAGGAGGAGGAGGAGGAGGAGGAGGAGGAGGAAGACGAGGACGCGGGGGCTTTGGTGGAGCCGAGGGCGCCTGCCTGAGTTGCACCGCGTTGCTTGCACATCTGGGCAGGTTGCGTAGTTCTCCAAATGTCAGGCGAAACCGTTTCCATGGGAAACCACGGATTTCCACCCTCGACGGAGGCGGCACCCGCCGCATTTGGGGGAGGTTGGGGAGGGCACCTCCCCCGATCCATGGATTTGGCGACCGCGCGCCAAATCCATGGATCGCTAATTCATGTTTGCGCGCCCCCGAGATGAGGCGGAGGGTGTGAAGGAGGAGGAAGACGAGGACGCGGGGGCTTTGGTGGAGCCGAGGGCGCTTGCCTGAATTGCACCGCGTTGCTTGCACATCTGGACAGGTTGCGTAGTTCTCCCAATGTGAGCTGACGTGGAGGGGAAGAAGAGCTTGGAGAGGAGGAGGAGGACATGGGGCAGGATGGGGAGGCGACACACGCGATGTTCCGATGACTGCTCTGGCGGAGTGCTGCACCGCCAGGCCTCGCGTCACTCCTCTTCGTCCTCCTCGCCCCAGGAGAGGGTGAGCACCAGCTCGCGATGGCTGATGGACAAGGCCTGGCCCCCCCGGACCCTCGGGGGGAGCGCTCCTCGCTCTTGCAGGGGGGCTGCATCGCTCGGGGCCGGCGCCACGCTCCGAGGGTACAGGGGCGCCCGGCCGCCGGGAGCAGGACAGCGGGCCGGCGTGCTGCCAGAAGTGGTCCCGGCCCAGGTTCGAGGATCCAGGATCCAGGGTCGAGGGCCTCGTGGATCGGGGATCGAGGGTCGAGGGTCGAGGGTCGAGGATCCAGGATCGAGGGTCGAGGATCGAGGGCCGAGGATCCAGGATCGAGGGTCGCGGATCGATCGGGGATCGGGGAATCGGGGAATCGAGGATCGGGTGGGGGGCGCGGGGCTGCCGCAGCAGCGGGTGGCGCGCTCCAGAGGAGGCGCGCCTCGCCCTCGGCGCAGCCCAGCCCTCGGCGGAGAATCAGGGCGGCGGCGGGTTTCTGCCGGGGCAGAAGCCGGCCGAGGGCGGGAGGAGGCAAGCGCGAGCCAGTATCGACTGGGTGTCGGCGGCAAGCGGGGCAGGGGAGCGAGAAGGGGAGGGCCTCCCTGGAGGCCCCCGTCGCCACCGTCGGATTCGCCCCGAAGTGTTGCTCCGAACGCACCCCAGGAGAGCTCTGGGAAGTATAGCGGTATTGGTATTGTTTGGTCTCCCCAGGGGGGGTGGGAAGGAGAAGGAGAAGGCCTTCTCAGAAGGCGGCGGGACTTCTCAGAAGCCCTCGCGCCCTCGGACAAGTTTTTCTGGCGTCATCGGGGAAGGCTTAGATCGAAAGCCTCTCGGACGGCCGGGGGCCTGCCGAGCCTGCTCAGGAGGTCTGCCCCTGCTCACTTGGCCGCGAGCTCGCCGCCGACAGGTGCATGTAGGCGTGAAACTTCGCCGGCTGGAGTGACCTTTGGTACGGGACCACTGGTCTGGACGCCCGAGATGGGCACGGAAAGAATGGGTACTATGCCCAGCAGCAGTTCCTGTTCATTCTGAACAGGATTCGCTGTCCACGCCGCCGCGGCCTGTGTCCATTCGAGACTGGAGGCCGCCTGCCCAACAGCGGCCGCTGTTGGTTTGGGACAACATCTGTTGTTGGGCATCGTACCCATTTTTTCGGTACCCATGTCGGGCGTCCAAAACTGGGGTCCCCCCGTTCGCCGGACGCGATGCGATGCTAGCGTCTTGCGCGCTTGCGTGTTGGTCACCCCGCGGCCCGCCCAAAAAGCCGCGGACGAAAGGGCACTCTGACCCATGGTTGCTCTTGCGTGTAGCCGATAGGAGTCGGCGGAAGTCGGGCGGACGTAGCAAACGGGAGACGTAAACCTTTTTCCCGGAAAGGGCGCGGGCCCAGGGTTCTCTTTTAGTAGGTAAACCTGTCCCCCGGTGCCAACTTGAAGGAGGCCGGCGGATTTTTTCCCTGATAAATATCGAGGTCGAAGGAGGCCGGCGGATTAAAATTTGAGGATGTCTCAGGCGAAACGCTTGTTTTTGAAATCCCGATCGATAAATCACAGGGTGCGGGACACCTCAGCACGACCACACCCCCAGCATGACCACACCCCAGCACGACCACAGCACGACCAGCACACGACCCCAGCACGACCACACCCCAGCACGACCACACCCCAGCACGACCACACCCCAGCACGACCACACCCCAGCACGACCACACCCCAGCACGACCCGATCGATAAATCACAGGGTGCGGAGCACCCCAGCACGAACCCACCCCAGCACGACCCCACCCCAGCACGACCCCACCCCAGCACGACCACGCCCCAGCACGACCACACCCCAGCACGACCACACCCCAGCACGACCACTCCCCAGCACGACCCCACCCCAGCACGACCCCACCCTAGCACGACCACACCCCAGCACGACCACACCCCAGCACGACCCCACCCCAGCACGACACACCCCAGCACGACCCCACCCCAGCAAGACCACACCCCAGCACGACCACACCCCAGCACGACCTCACCACAGCACGACCACACCCCAGCACGACCACGCCCCAGCACGACCACGCCCCAGCACGACCACGCCCCAGCACGACCACCCCCCAGCACGACCACCCCCCCAGCACGACCACCCCCCAGCACGACCACCCCCCAGCACGACCACACCCCAGCACGACCACTCCCCAGCACGACCACACCGCCTTGGTTGAGTGGTTGCCTGTCGTCGTGGAATGTTTCGTGGGGTGTCTCGTGGAATGTTTCGCGGGGTGTCTCGTGAAATGTTTCGTGAGGTGTCTCGTGGAATGTTTCGTGAGGTGTCTCGTGGGCTGTTTCGTGAGGTGTCTCGTGGGATGTTTCGTGAGGTGTTGCCCAGTTGGGTATCATGAAAACGTGTCCATGCTCCACATGTCTATATCCCTTTCCGGGTTCGTGGGTCCATCATGTTGAAGGCAAGGGTTCCGGAAGCGGCCATGTGGGCGCCGGCCAGACGCATCGGCCCGTCTCGAGCATCTTCGGGTTGCCAGGGGGCATTCGTTTTCAGGAGGGGGGGGGCGCTCCAGCTCAGGCCTGATGACGATGAGGATGATGGTGGTGTTGGTGATGATGATGATGATGATGATGATGATGATGATGATGATTATGATGATGATGATGATGATGATGGTGATGGTGATGGTGATGGTGATGATGATGGTGATAGTGATGATGATGGTGATGATGATGGTGATGATGGTGGTGATGATGATGATGCTGATGATGATGATGCTGGTTGTGGTGGTGATGGCGATGGTGATGGTGGTGATGATGATGGTGATGATGATGGTGATGATGGTGATGATGATGATGATGATGGTGATGATGATGATGCTGGTTGTGGTGGTGATGGCGATGGTGATGGTGGTGATGATGATGGTGATGATGGTGGTGATGGTGGTGATGCTGGTGTTGATGGTGGTGGTGGAGCGCTCGCTCAGAGCTGCCCCCTCTTGGCGTCCCGAGCGGGAGGCCGCGAGCCCGCTCGGGGCACGGCCACCCCCTGGCGCCCGGAGCCGGAGGCGGCCGCGGGCGCACGGGCAGAGCCTCGATCGCCGCCGAGGGGCGGGCACGCGAGGCAGGGGAGGTTTTTTGTGTTAGTATGATTGGTGTCCGTATCATTCGTATTATTTGTACGGTTGTTATTACTATTACCCTTTTTGTGTCGTTCTATTACTATTACTATCGTAGTGTCATTCGTATTATTACTTGTACTAGTACTGGTATTACTCTCGTTCTTATTATCCTTATTAGTGCTGCTTTTTTTGTTGGTGGTGTTGGTGTTGGGATTGTTGTTGCTGTTGTTGAACTCTCCCTTCTGAAGAGTAAGTATTGTTGCCCCCCCCGTCCGGTGCACATTGATTTTTGTTTCGATTGAAGTGCCCCTCCCGGGGCTCGCACCCTGTTTTTCATCAGGGAAGGTCTTGAGGGTCAAACTGTGTCGTTGGCCCCCGGGGTTACAACAACAACGGCTCCCGCCTGAGACGTCCTCACAATTTAGCCAGGACCCCCGCTCCCGCCCGAGAGTTCCCCGCGTTTTATTTAGGAATCGCGCTCTCACTTGGGACTTCCTTCGAATTTATTATCCCGGCGCTCTGGAGACGCGCTCTCGCTGGAGACTTGCTTGCAATTTGCTGAACCATTTCTTGCAATTTACTCAAGCGCCGCGCTCCCGACACCCAGGCACCCAGGAGTCGCGCTCACACTTAGGACTCCCTCACATATTACATAGGAATCGGGATCTCGCTGCCTTTGGTGGCCCTGTCGCAGCCCTTCGTGGCCCCCTCGCTTTGTTTCGCGGCCCCGTTGCAGCGCTTCGTGGCCCACTGGCTGCCCTTCGTGGCCCCGTCGCAGCCCCTCGTGGCCTCCTCGCTGCCCTTCGTGGCCCCGTTGCAGTCCGTCGTGGCCCCCTCGCTTTGTTTCGCGGCCTCGTTGCAGCCTTTCGTGGCCCCCTCGCTGCCCTTCGTGGCCCCGTCGCAGCCCTTCGTGGCCCCGTCGCAGCCCTTCGTGGCCCCCTCGCTGCCCTTCGTGGCCCCGTGGCATCCCTTCGCGGCCCCCTCGCCCGTGGCCCCCCCCGCTCGTTCGTGCCCGTGGTGGCCCCGTATGCACCTGTCCTGCGTGGCCCAGTTGCTACTCCAGATTTCGTAATAAAAGGGAGGGGGTCTGAACCCTCCAAGACAAGCCATTTCAGACCCCCCCCTCGTGGGAGAACCCTCCAAATCATCGTCCCCAGACCCCCCCAGGCCCTCCAAGATGGCCTGGAAGAGACCCCCCCACCGAAATGAGACCCCCTCCCTTTTATTACGAAATCTGGAGTACCCTCAGTGGCCCCATCGTTGCCTCCTGTGGCCCCGCATGATCCGCCCTTCGTGGCACCCGCTCGTTCGCGCTCTCCGTGGCCCCAATACGCATATTCCCTTCGTGTCCCCGCTGTTGCCCTTCGTGGGCTACTTTGTGCCCTTGTGGCCCTGCTGTCTTTCTCTTTCGCTCTCGGTTTCGCTCGTCGTCGTCGCCGTCGCCGTCGCCGTCGTCGTCGACGTCGTCGTCGTCGTGGTCGGTCCCCTGTCCGTCCCTCTTGGGGTCGGGTCGACGGTCCGCGGCCGCCCCGCCGATCAGCGCTGCCGCTGGCCAGGCCGACGGTCCGCGGCCGCCCCGCCGCTTGCCAGGGCCCGGCCTGCAGGGAAGAAAGGTATACCCCCCAAAAGCGGTTCGATCGAAGACGAAGAGGGCGGGTATCGAGGTTTCGGGAAATAGGCGTTATTGGACAGTCGAGCAGATAAGGGCGAACAATCTTAAAATGGTTGTTGTTGTTGTTGGTGGTGTTGTTGTTGTTGAATTCACATGTTTGAAGAATTCGTTATTGTTGATCTCCCCCGTCTGGTGCACATTGTTTTTTCTCGATTGCAGTGCCCCTTCTGGGGGCTCGCACCCTGTTTTTTATTAGGGAGAGTCTTCAGGGTCAAACTGTGTCGTTGGCCCCCCAGTTTACAACAACAACAACAACGGCTCCCGCTCGATACTTCCTCACCATGTATTGAAGAATCGCGCTCTCGCTTGTGACGTCCTTGCAATTTTCCACCGGATCGCGGCTCCCGCTTGGTATTTCCTCACCGTTGATTATTGGAGAATCGCGCTCTCACTTGGGGCTCCCGCGTTCCTCTCGACATCTCTGCAGTTCTCATTATCCTTGCGCCCCACTCTCCCAGCACCGCTTCTTTTCAGGGTTCCACGAAATTCGTTTCTGACACCAGTTCGCAGTTGTACGTCCCCCCGTGGGGGTATCCACGATATGGTCTTTCAAGGGGGTGGTACGTGGCGCTGTTTATGGCGCGACCCATGGCGAAACTTATTGTTAGCCTGTGTTGGAGTGGCTGGCGCAAGCCATGGCGCAAGCTGAATCGCCACTCGCAGCGCAAATCGTCGTCATCCCTCCTTCTTGCCCCTCCCCTCCTTTCCTCCGACCCCTTCGTCCTCATTTTTCCCCGTTATCTGTTACCATTTTGTTTTCAAGGGCTTCACCGACCCCTCATGGCAGGGAATGAAGATACCCCCCCAAAAAAGGGCACGATCGAATACGAAGAGGGCGGGTATCCAGGGCTTGTGATATGAATGTTGAATGACACGCGACCACATAAGAGCGAACAGTATTACAATGATTGTGGTTGTTGTGGTTGTTGTGGGTGTTGCGGTTGTTGATGTTGTTGCTGCTGTTGTTGCTGCTGTTATTGTTGCTGTTGTTGTTGTTGGTGTTGTTGTTGGTGGTGATGTTGTCGTTGCTGCTGCTGCTTGGTTCTTTTTATAACAAGGGGGTGGACGACAGGGGGACGGGAGGAACAGGGAGTACAGAACGCGATGGAGGAGGCTCCGACCGGATCGGAGGAAGGCTCATGGTTAGCCTTCAGAAAAAGCTTCAGCACTGTGTGAGGCAGGCAAAAGGAAAGAAGAAACGAGGCGGAGGAGGAGGAGGAGGAGGAGGAGGAGGAGGAGGAGGAGGAAGATGAGGAGGAGGAGGAGGACGGGGGGAGGAGGAGGGGGAGGAGGTCGAGGAGGGGGAGGAGGAGGAGGAGGAGGACCAGGACCAGGAGCAGGAGGAGGAGGAGGAGCAGCAGCAGCAGGAGGAAAGGAGGAACAGTTGGAGGGGGAGGGGGGGCAGCAGCAGCAGCAGGAGGTGGAGGAGGAGGAGGAGGAGGAGGAGGAGGAGGAGGAGGAGGAGGAGGAGGAGGAGCTTGAGGAACACGCTCCAGGCGCTCGCCTCCAGTCCTGCGCAACGTCCGAAAATAGCGAGCCGGCAGAGCGGGGGGCGCTCCGCGCGAAACGAGCCGCTGCAGAGGTCGGCCTCTGGGGCCTCTTCCTGGCCGTGCTTCTGGCCGACGGCCTGCCGCAACCGTTCACCTACGTGCCCCTGATCTTCCTGGCGCGCGCGCGCCCGGCCGGACGCGAGGAGGGGGAGGGGGGAGGAGGACCCAGTCAAGCAGTGGCGAAGCGTCCTGGCTCACTTCTAGCCCCACCAAACAATGTTCTAAGAACCTTTTCTGGTTCCCACGAAATGTTCTTAGAACATTTCTAGCTGGAACTGTCTTGGTTTAGCGCAGTGGGTTTATGTTTTAACAACATTGTTTTTGTTACAATGACATTTTGGGGTTCTAAGAACATTTCGTGGTAGGACTAAGGGAATGCCGGGACGGTCGGTCCCTGCTCAACCCAGGCCCCCTCGGGTCGCGACGTAAGCACGACGGGTGGTGTGGAACGGTTTGGCCTCTGGGGGCCCATCCACGGGGCATCTGGACCACCCGAAGGCGGCTCGGGAGGGAGGACCGATCCCAGGGGAGGGGTCTAGGCCTCTGGGGGTCCACGCCATGGAAGACCCACGACGTCGGGGGTCTGCGGAGGAGGGGTCTGCGGAGGAGGGGGAGGAAGAGGAGGAGGAGGAGGAGGAGGAGGAGGAGGAGGAGGAGGAGGAGGAGGAGGAGGAGGAGGAGTGAGACGTGAGGAGCAGCGAGGGAAGAGGGTGGGGAGAAGGAGGGGGAGGCGGAGGAGGAGGAGGAGAAAGTAAGACACCCTTCATGTCTGGCGCCACGCGGCCGTCTTAACACCCCTGGAGCTGAAACTGAGCAAGTCGTGAGCGCACGTTTTTCCTTCGGTTCGGTCTAGTGTTGGGCCCAGGGGCAGTCCACGATTACGACTGAGGATGAAAAGCCGGGCCCAGGGAAGGTTTCGAGAATCGTAGGGGCCCATGTCACCAGTGACGCCAGAAGGGGAGGAGACCAGATAGAGTGTGCAAGCGACGAACAGCGGCAAAGTGAAGGGGGGATAAGCTCAGGGGCGACGCATCGACCCCTAATCTCACATTTATCGCCAAGGGGGGCCCGACAGCCCACCCTGCTCAGGAGCGTGCGGATTAGCCCTCGGGTGCCTATCGCTTATCTATCGGCGATGTATCGCCGATGCTTCGCGAGTTTCCCCTTCCCCCCCCCCCCCCCTTGAGCTGGTCCCCCTCAACGTGGCCCCTCAGCCCTCAGACGACGAGCTGCACCTCTTGGGATCGCCGTGGGGCCCTGGAGTGGAAGACGCCACGTGCCGTCGTGGGCCAATCTTGGAGAATTTCGTAGCCTTCGTGCGGCTGTCTCTGGCCGTCTAGTGGCCCTCGTTGCACTGAAAGAGCGCAGCAGGATAGCAACACAATATATGGTGAGGGCACGCTTTGCTCCCGGCGAACTCTGCAGAACCTCTGCCAGACGCCGAATTCGCATTCTGACCCCCCACCCCGACGAGACCTCAGCACGGCAGTGGACACGTCGCCATCGTCTCTAGGGGAACGAGCAGTGACATAAACAGAACAACTCTGAGGTCCGCGCGGATTTTTCGGATCCGCGCTGGACCCCCTGGGGGCGCCTCTGGCGCCGCCTCTGGCGCGCTCCGCGCGTCAGGGAGGGGGAACCAGCGCCGATCCGAGAAATCCGCGCGGACCTCCGAGTTTTTATGTTTTTGTCATGCTTCGTTCCCTCAGTCACCTCTGCCCGCGCACAGGCCGTCAAGGGCTCTGCAGAGAAGGCCGCCGTGTTCGCCGTCTGCGCCGCCGCCTCCTACGTGGCCGCCGTGGCCGGCTACCTGATAGGGGCGAGCGCGGGCCCCCCCCCTCCTCTTCCCCCTCCTCCTCCTCCTCCTTCTCCTCCTCCTCCTCCTCCTCCTCCTCTCCTCCTCCTCCTCCTCCTCCTCGTCTTCCTCCTCCTCCTCCTCTGCTCTGCCCGCCCGTGCTGGGCCCTTCACGCCGCCCCTGCGCCGTCCTCGCACGGGAGCCACCCTGCGAGCGCGATCCAGCACAGTCCCGCGTGCAAGCTTGGTCATGGTTGTTGGTTGTGCCTCCCCTCCATCTCCCGTGGAGGTGCCATTCAGGCCAGGGAGCTCCGAGGCGTAAAGCACGCCGCTGCGACGAGGGCCCCCCCAGGGAGGCCCAGGAAGGCGAGCAGGAAGGCGAGGATATTGTTATCGGTGCCGCAGGTTCGGGCCGCGTGGAAGCGGCGGCGCCGCCCAGCGCGGGCGTGCAAGGTTGCGCGCCGCGAGTGGCCCAGAGCCGGCCCGACGTCGAAGGATCTGCGCCATCGGAAGGCCGCGCGATATCTGCGCGGTGTCGAGAGTCAAGCGCCGTCGCCACGGCAGGGTCCTGCCGTGCGCTGTGTGCCTTGGGGTGACCGTTGGAGGAGTGGTATCTTTTTGTTCAGAATCATGGGATCATGCTCGTGCTTTCCCCTCTGGACGGCGGCGAGCGAGAAGGTAGGGAAGTGAGAAGGAGAGGGCCTTCTCCAGAAGGCGCTGGGACTTCTCAGAAGCCCTCGCGCCTGCTGAGAGGTTCTTCCTGCGCCTTCGGGGGGCACCCCCGAAGACACGGGAACCCTCTCTCTCTCCTCTCTCTCGCTCTCTCTCCTCCCTCTCGCTCTCTCTCTTTCTCTATCCCTCTCTCTCCTTCTCTCTTTCCCTCACTCTCTTCCTCCACTTGACGCACATATTTTTTATATACACACACGCATATTCCATTTCATGTGTCGGAAACCTGGCCCCAGGGGCCCCCTGGACCGAGAACAAATGCACTAAATCTCCCTTCCTCCCCGCCCCGAAACCTGCCCTGGGCCTCCCCGGAGCCTTTCTGGAGCTTCCCCGGCCCCCCCGAGCTCCCGGGTAGGGTCCAGACGGGCCAACGTTGCTTCCGATCGGCCCCAGACGGCGTCAAAACGCTCCGTAAGGCCTCCAAGACCGTCCCAAGACGGCTCCAGGTGGACCCCCAAGAGCGCCCGAAGAGGCAAAAGTCGTCCCATGTTTTTTCAGGAAGCGCACATTTCTAGCCAATTCGCTGTATTCACGTGCGCAACATCCAAGATGGTCCCAGCGGCCCCCAGGAGAGCACCAACACAGCCCAGCAGGTCCCCCAGCGGGCCCCGACACGGCCCAGGAGGGCCCACGATGGCCCAAGAGTCACTCTTTACCGCCCAAGACGGCCCCAAGAGGCCCCAAGAGGCCTCAAGGGAGGCCCAGGGGGGGAACGCGAACTCACATTTCAAGGCCTCCGTCCCGAGAGGACTCCGAAGATCCTCGGCAGGCCTCCAACGACCCTCCCCCAAGAGGATCCAATAGGCGCCGAAAGGCGCCCCAAGATGCTTCATAACTGCCTCCAAGAGGCTCCCTCGAGGCCAGGCATTCAAGAAGCCTCACACCATCAAACCAGGCACGGTGGCATGATGGGCACAAAACCACTAGGAGTGGGCACGCGTGGACGAGGGGCAGAGTGGGGCCCCTCCTCTTTGTGTCCTCCTTCTGGTCTTCATCTTCAAAGACTTCACTTATCCTTCTGCTCCTGCCCCTCCTTCCCGTCCTGTCACCGTTCTCGTCGCCGTCATGCTCCTGGACTCTTCTCCCCTTTCTCGACCTCGAAACCGCCCTCCTCGTCCACTTCGTCGTTCTCCTGGACACCTCCGTGCTCAGGGACGGGCTGATGACTACGTGCTCCCGTAGCGTCTCCGGACTGAAGGCGTATCCGAAACCGTTGTCCAATCCTCGACATCTCCCTGCGAGCTGGGGGTCCTGAGAACCTGAGCGCGCGCGACGCGCGCGCGAAGTTTCTAGTGTGTACGTATACGTATTTGTTGTGTACAGCTGTTGATGCACTACAAACCAGATCCTGCCATCGAGCGTTGGTCAGTTTTGCCGACTAGTCGTTGTCGTAGTGGTCGCAGTCGTACTAGTAGTCGTATATGTTGTCTTAGTAGTAGCGCTAGTGATAGTAGTAGTAGTAGTAGTAGTAGTAGTAGTAGTAGTAGTAGTAGTAGTAGTAGTAGTAGTAGTAGTAGTAGTAGTAGTAGTAGTAGTAGTAGTAGTAGTAGTAGTAGTAGTAGTAGTAGTAGTAGTAGTAGTAGTAGTATAGTAGTCGTAGTGTAGTAGTAGTAGTAGTAGTAGTAGTAGTAGTAGTAGTAGTAGTAGTAGTAGTCGTAGTAGTAGTAGTAGTAGTAGTAGTAGTAGTAGTAGTAGTAGTAGTAGTAGTAGTAGTAGTAGTAGTAGTAGTAGTAGTAGTAGTAGTAGTAGTAGTAGTAGTAGTAGTAGTAGTAGTAGGGTTGCACCTGGTCTTCGTGTCGCTACAAACCTCACCTTCGTGTACTCTTCTTTTGTATCAGGCCTAATAGAACTCCTACCAGGGGAATTACGAAAACCGTAGTTTCAAACCTGGCCTTCGTGTCTTTCGCGCCAATGCCTACCTTCGTGCACTATTCGCTGTAGAGGCTGTAGATTGGATTCGTATTAGAAAGTGAACAAAAACGTCAGTTTTACACTTGTCCTTCGTGTCGACGTCGGATTTGGAGCAACCGCCACTGCCAGCCGCTTCATTTCGGCACAACCCTCTCGAGGATCGTGGGCCTGGCCCTCCGACGCGCGATTCCGGCGCGCACTTCACTAGGATCGTGGCCCTGGTCCAAGTGGGAGCGCTGCCGAAGGCCCACCGACGTCCAATTCCGGCACGCCGCTCACGAGGATCGTGTCCTGGCCCACCTGGGAGCGCTGCCGACGGCCCACCGATGAGCAATATCGGCGCACCCCTCACACGGATCGTAGACCTCGCCACATTTGGATCGCCGCCCGACGCTGAAGTTCGGCACACCTCTCACATGGATCGTGGCCCTGGCCCAATGTGGAGCGCTGCCGACGGCCCACCGACGCCCAATGCCGGAACACCCCTCACGAGGATCGTGGCCCTCTGGTCCACTTGAGAGTGGGTTTTCATAAGGACGTCGTTCTGGTTTTATTCGGGAAGGCATTTTGGTTTTATTCGTTTCTGGTTCGTGATGGTTAGGAGGAGGAGGAGGAGGAGGAGGAGGAGGAGAGGAGGAGGAGGAGGAGGAGGAGGAGGAGGAGGAGGAGGAGGAGGAGGAGGAGGAGGAGGAGGAGAGAGGGGGGGGGAGGAGGGAGGGGAGGGGAGGAGGAGGAGGAGGAGGAGGAGGAGGCGAGGAGGAAGAGGAGGAGGAGGCGGGAGGCGGAGGCGGAGGAGGAGGAGGAGGAGGAGGAGGAGGAGGAGGAGGAGGGAGGAGGAGGAGGGGGGAGGAGGGAGGAGGAGGGGGAGGAGAAGAGGAGGAGGAGAGGAAAGGAGGAGGAGGAGGAGGAAAGGAGGAGGAGGAGGAAGAGGAGGAGGAGGAGGAGGTGGGGGACGGGCAGGAGGAGGAGGAGGAGGGAGGAGGAAGGAGGAGGAGGAGGAGGAGGAGGAGGAAACGGAGGGGGGAGGAGGAGGAGGAGGAGGAGGAGGAGGATGAGGAAGAGGAAAGCGAACAGGAAAAGAGGAACGTTGTTTTCTCGTTTTCCACAATGGGTTTGCGAACCTCACCTTCGTGTACGATTGGCTCTATAGCCCCTGTATTGTTTTCTTATGAGCGAACGGCGAAATTGTGGGTTTCCGAACCCCTTCTTCGTGTACTATTAGAATCAGTGGGCTTCCGAACCTCATTTTCGTGTACTATTAGCTCCATCGCCCCCTGTATTGTTTTCCTATCAGCGAATGGCGAAATTGTGGGTTTCCGAACTCCTGCTTCGTGTGCGATTGAACTCCGACTATTCTATGTTACTCTATTTGGTTTTAACTGATTGTGTGGAACCGAGCCCGAACCCGAACCCTTACCCTTACCCTTACCCATTTATTCTCAGTAGACACGAAGGTGAGGTTTGACCCTAGTAGTAGTAGTAGTAGTAGTAGTAGTAGTAGTAGTAGTAGTAGTAGTAGTAGTAGTAGTAGTATAGTAGTAGTAGTAGTAGTAGTCGTAGTAGTCGTAGTCGTAGTAGTACTAGTAATAGTAGTAGTAGTAGTAGTAGTAGTAGTAGTAGTAGTTAGTAGCAGCAGGAGTAGTAGCGGCAGTTTTTTCGTAGCAGTAGTAGTAGTAGAGTAGTAGTAGTAGTAGTAGTAGTAGTAGTAGTAGAATAGTAGTTTGATTAGTAGTAGTAGTAGTAGTAAGAAGTAGTTAGTAGTAGTAGTAGTAGTAGTATGTAGTAGTATGTAGCAGGAGTAGTAGGCGTAGCAGTAGTAGTAGTAGTAGTAGTAGTAGTAGTATCAGTAGTAGTAGTAGTAGTAGTAGTAGTAGTAGTAGTAGTAGTAGTCGTAGTAGTAGTAGTAGTAGTTAGGTTAGTAGTCGTAGTAGTATTAGTAGTAGTCGTAGTAGCAGGTAGTAGTAGTAGTAGTAGCAGAAGTCGTAGTCGTAGTAGTCGCAGTCGTAGTAGTAGGTAGTGGTAGTAGTAGTAGTAGTAGTAGTAGTAGCAGTCGTAGTAGTGGTAGTCGTAGTAGTAGTAGCAGTAGTGGTACTAGTAGTAGTAGTAGTGGTAGCAGTAGCTGTAATCGAAGTAGTAGTGATAGTTGTAGTAGTAGCCGTAGTGGTGGAAGTAGTCGTAGAAGTAGTAGTAGTAGTAGTAGTAGTAGTAGCAGAAGTCGTAGTCGTAGTAGTCGCAGTCGTAGTAGTAGGTAGTGGTAGTAGTAGGAATAGTAGTAGTAGTAGTAGTAGTAGTAGTAGTACTAGTACTAGTAGTAGTAGTAGTAGTAATAGTAGTAATGGTAGTAGTAGTCGTAGTCGTAGTCTTAGTCGCAGTAGAGGTAGTAG